GCGCCGATTGCCAGGTGCATGATGGCTGATGTGAGGACGAAATACGGCACGAATGAGGGAGTTCTTCGCAGCGTGTAGAGGGAAGAGTAAGATCTCAGGAGACCTTGGATGGCGTCAGCTGCCTGGGAGCAGACGTCGCGGGGAGAGACTTTGGACCCGATGATTCGTAGCTTGATTAAAGGCCGAAACAAGAGTAAGATGGCAAAATGGTAGTACATGCTATTCCCGGTTAGTATTTTATCTCGACAAGAGCATCTTCATGCTGAAACTCACTGTGCAAATAACACAGCTGGGGTAAAGTTGTGCCCCAACCGAAGAACCTCGGGGATTCTATCATACCAGTTTAGGTACTGGGTATACATGCTCAAGAGCTCTCTCGCCGTGAGAGGTTTACCGGGAGAATGTAGAATGTACAAAGACTGGTGTACCAGCTCGCTCAGCTCACAGAAACACTTGTACACAGACCTAACATTTGACGGTTGCTGGCAGGATCGTTGTAATGGAGCTCCTGATATCGTTAGTAACTTCCTATGGAACCATTCGATAACAAACTTACCATCATCGGTATATGGTACCCATAAGGAAGCCTCTATGTCTCCTATTATTGCCGGTTTTGGCGGTAAGTGCGGGAAGCAGGAACATTGTGGCAGTGAGCCTGTAGCAAGGGACCATGCGCTGCGGGGGCAAGTTAGACAAATACTTTCTCGCAACACAGAGATAGACATACTGATCTAGTGCAAATGCTCCCCAGAAGGTCGCTGATTGCACAGCGAGTTCGTCCTCATCCCCTTCGTCCATGATTCTGTGCAATCCCATCTCAATAGCTAGCCGGATACTCTGACCAGCGTAATACCAACTCTCCGAATCGCGTCCGCAACTAGCTTCCCGGATAGACATTATGCCCAGGGCTTGGATGGTGGTCAACGAGTGATGGTCTGTCTCTTGAGAGAAGAGTCGTAGTGACTCTTTGAAGAAATGGTCTCCGGAAGTGTATGGGTCATTGGGATTCGCTCGAGACATGGGCTGAGTTGAGAAACGACAGCCCAACGCGAGGAGGGCGTTTACTAGTATCGGCGAACAGTAGCGATTTCGTCCTTCTTGAAAATCATGTAAGAAATGCTCTTTGCTGAGGGATGCAAATGTCGGGTACTCCCAGCAAAAATACAGTGCCAAAAGATGCTGAACGAGAGTATTATCGCTAGTGAGAGCGGTCCATGTTGAAGTAGGTGTTCGGAGTTCCGGTTCGTTCAGAGGGGACAAAATCTGCTCGACCCCTCGATATCGCGGCAAGCCATCTGACATCTGTTCTGGATGCATTCCTTCTGCCCAAGATCCGACACGGTTTTGTGGCGTCCAGTTCATAACATCTGGGTAGGAATTACTCCTCGTTGATCCTGTTTGACTGTGAAAAGAAGAATGCCAGGGACTTTGCTGGCCCATCTCTCTCATCGGAGGCTGCTGCGGCGGCCCCTGGTTCACACCTAGACTCATCGCCGCCAACGTTCCCAGTCCACCTCCCGGGAAACCTGGCGCGGGTCCCATCGTAGGTCCCTCGGGTCGATCGGAAAAGTTAGGCATCGGACCCCCTCCAGAGGGCGGCACGCTCGCTAGCCATTCTGAAATGCTCTCGATGGGTTGTCCACCTCGAAGTCGGGTGAGAACCCCTTCCCATAGCTCGGGTCGAACAAGCGCAGCGAAGATTTGATCACTAGATCGTTGTTTTTGACGTAGAGTCTCGATTTCGGTTCGCAAATTCTCCTTTGACTGGCGCACTGGTATTTCATATACACACTCGACATCTTTTTGTGCTCTGCAGCGCCCACATGGTTTCTTCCCATCACACTATGCGCAGCAATTGTTAGCCGAGAAGCAACGCAAATACAAATATACGTTGCGTAGACAAGATGCATATAAAAGACTCCGTCGCAAAACCGACAACACGATTTATCGTCAGACAGCGTCATGTGCAAGCCAAAATAAGCATTTCACCATGATTGGGGATATAGGAGCAGAAGGAGGCGGGCCAATTTGCTACATACCTTTGCGCGTTTCTTACGACACTCGGTGCAGGCATTGGGCGTCACGACACCCAACCCTCGGCGACGTTTCGAGTTCTGAGAATGGGCGACAATAGATGCATTGCCGGATGCAGTCGAGGGCGTGTTTGCAGACTGAACCGAGGTAGGGGTTGGATTTCCCGATGCTCCTCCAACTTGCGCAGAAGTTCCCTGAGGCGTGTGTTCAGCGCTGGGGGGCGGTTGACTACCGCCATCTGAATGCTCGTTGTCTACGTCCATCTCTCGAACTGTAGCCTTGTCTATAGGCTATCACAGATATGATAAAAGCGGCGGAAGAAGGGCGGGCCCGAAATAGTCGTATGCGAATCGAGCCCAGCGTTTGCCGTTAGGCTTTGAAGTCCTACCTTCAGCTCGACGAGCTTCTGGTGGGATGAGGTCTAGGAGGGGCGACAGTGGAGGATACGGCGCAATCGGACATGCTGTAGAGGAAATCGTGTTGGTATCGCCCGAGTAAAAACTTGAGTTTGAAAATTCGAGCTCTCGTTTTCTCTGCTGGCGCCGGAGATGCAGTACTGGCTCTTGCGCCTGGCCTGGTTCAGGAATATTTTGGGCTGCTGCTACTTGAATGGCTTCTAGATTCAATGTCGCGTCACGCCTCGTAGCGGGGAGAATGCGATGCGGAGACACAATGCTGAAGTGACCCAAGCTCTCACAATGAATTGGAGACGAGTCGCACTTGGTTATAGTTTATTGTTCGGTAAACAGACCAGCAACTGCGCACTTGTTGACCTAGCCAGGTAGTAGGCAGATACGCATGTAGCTAGCAACGACGTAACTGGACTAGAAGTGAGCTTTGAAGCTTGCAAGTTTGTGGATTGCGACTGGGGGCTGAAGGCGCTTGTGACTGGTCTCGCGAGTCAAGGGGAAAGAAACTTGGCGTGAGAATGTTGCAAGATCAATGGCGCTTCGAAGCGCACAATAGAGTCTCCTCTTTCTTTTTGTAACCGTGTTTTGTGTTTTGCGTTTTGCAGGAGGAATGAACGCACGATGCTGTTAGCTAGAGGATTAGATAGATAATCGGTGTCCACTCGATCGTCGATGGTGTCGGTACTATAGAGACCAGAAACTGCTGGCTGAAGTGGTCAATGCACAGCATGAATTGACAGCTACCAAACCATAACTGGCGGGCAGCAATTGGCAATGACGAAATGAGTAGTCGACAATAAGACTAGGAGCGGAAATTTCGCGCAGTTAACATAAAGTTGACAGGCAATCTAGAGAAGTCGGGGAAGGGAACAAGAACAGAAACAGAAAAAGAAAATCCTGACTCCAAGGTAACTGCGATCACAATTACCGTTGCGCCCAATTCCAGGTACGCAGGTTTCCTGAGTGAATTCTTTTTTTGCAAAATGTTGTACGATTCGACCCGGCGGCTCTGTACTTTAGAAACAGATCAGAGGTAACCGCCGAGGGTCAATCTCAGTCTCATACCATTTCAACTCAGAGAGAGAAAGAGTGAGGAGTGAAGGGAAGACGGGAATGGTCTTTGGACCAGTCAAGAAAGAAGACACGAGGTTGAGTTTAAAAGGCCAGACGAAAAGGTTGCCGGTAATGAACGAAGAGAGTGATCTGTAACTAGTCACGGAGGAAGCGCGATCGATCTTCTTTAATGTGATTACTGGGCAACGACAAATTCTGTCTTCTTTCCAGACGGTTATATTGTCTAGTCAAAGCAAATCAATTTGCCAGCATCTGTGTTCTCGTCACCTCCTCTGTAGACGGCGGATATCACCTTCCGTGCTTACAACAACTTGCCGTGTTTTCCTTCATTCCATCTCTTGTCTCTATCAGACATTTCAACAACTAGCAGCAGAACTACGCTACTATTGTCTGTTATGTCAACCTCCAAGCCTCATTGAAGCCCGATTTGGGATCTTGATCACTCTCAGTCTCCCATTGGATCGGCACGGACCGTTTAGGTTGTGCATTCTCCCTTGCAAGGCACCTGGCTTAAGCCCACCAACAGTCCACATCATCTTGGCTTTTCGCATTGGATGTGTCTTTCTTGGGCATAAAACATATGGCCATTTGGACCCCGCTTCATCCAATTGGACCTCCCAGGTAAAAAAGGTTTCCTGCCCCTGCGAGGATGATGTCAGACATCAGTGTTTTAAACTCATCTTGCTACCCCAGACTATGATCAGCATTAGTACCGGCATCCCGTCATCACAAGCCCCTCACTCCTTGTGAACAACAGAATTGGCCAGCTACTCCTTTGGGAATGGCAGATAGACAGGGTAGAATGGTCGTTCCTGAGTAAACGGCTACCACCCAATCTCCTGTTTAATTAGCGTGATTCTTAGTCTCAATGACCCAAGCTCGTCTCTACTCACAGAAGCTTCAACTCAACCGAATAAGGATTTGAACACAGCTATGCGATATAGGTGAGAGAAAGGTCTACTCGCATGCTACTGAGTCTTAAAATGATCTCTGGCAACTGTCCAGGCAGCATTTCGTCGATAATCACCTGGTATCTACAACAATGAACCTCTTTCATCGCTGTTTTATCAGCTTGACCCTGGCCTCAGAAACCCCACAGTATCGACGTCATTAGCATAAATACATCACAGCCTTATTAACATCACCCCAAGTCAATTCAGCTTGAAAATGATATTCAGCTAGTTCAACAAGCGCCCAATCATGATATGTCCTACAGGCCACCATGTTCGTCCATGATGGAAGGGACCTTTGATTGAAGAAAACAGTAGTAAGATAGACCGAGAAACTATCTACCTAACCAGAGTATCACCCAACATCCATGATCTTTCCCATAATCCAATACCATAACCTGGTTGTCCAAACACCATCCATCCCGCCGCCATATGTATGCGCCCAGTTACTATGCATCAGTGTTATACAGTTCCTATCTCTCGACAATCATAACAAAATAAATAATTGTATATTCTTATTCATCATAGTTCGCTATGCGAATGGTTCCCGGCGTCCCTTACTTGGGCTCCGATTCTTGACAGGGCTGCGACCTCGATCTCCTTTGCTTGAGCTTCGGCGGATCGAAGGCGTGAAAGATGGTGGAAGTAGTGCCTTCATTTTTGGTGGCGTATTGTCCGTGTCCGTCCCCTCGTCGAGAATCATATGACGCTTCATTCTTGGTGTCTGTACGGGAACCCACATGAACCCAGGGCCGTTCTCTGGAACCATTGATGCCTCGCGTGATGAAGAGGCAGGTTGTGATGGAACGGGCGCCGCCGGCTTGTTAACATATCCTCCCAAAAAGAAGTTGTTCGCAAAGGCACAGAAAATGAGGACAGCGAAGAAGAAACCCTAAACAAATATTAGTTATAAGTTAATAGACAATTCGAAGGAACAGCGTACCCAAGCCTTGAGGTTCATGGCGTCAGAGAATTCGTTGATGATCTCCGCGATTTGTTTTGCTGTCACCTTGACCCTCATGATAGCTTCAGGGTTTTGCGTCATGCACTCGAACCACTCATCGCAGTGTTTTGCAATCACTGGGGGGCGGTCGTTTCTTGAGCAACCATTGATGGTGTATTGTGTCTGACACTCAGTGATTCTGCCCATTATTTCGATACGGGCCATCTCATTTGCGTTCTCGATATCTGTCTTGATAGTGCTCACGATTGACCACCCAATATAGACGAAGACTGCGACAAGGAAAAAGTTGACAAGCAACTTCACCCAACGATATAGATTATCAGGGGCATTGGGGTGTTCATCCAACATATGAAGTAGGGAGCCCAGGAAGCCCTTGGGCTCTTCCTTTGTATTTCTCTTGCCGCGCGATCGTCGTCGTGGTGCGATACTATCACCTGAGTCGGAGTCTGACTCTGTCCATCGATGCCGAGGTATGTTGCTGACGTCCCTGTCAAGGTTGTGTCGCTTCCGTTTGCGAATAAACTCGGATACGGGGAGGTCTCGGTTTGCTCTGATCTCGCCTCGACCCGGGGTGTGCTTCTTACTCGAGAAAGGAGTCTTGTTGTATCGGTGCGACTTGTCAATCTTGGAGGGACTTGCCATACCACCCATATTGATATCGCTGGTATGGTCTACTTCAGGAGTATCGTTTGGGAAGTCAGACACCTCTGTTGGGGCAGGACTATCTTCTGCACCTGAAGCTTCAGACAATGCTAAATCCTCGAATGGTCGCCGCGGCGTTGTAAAAGCAGGGTTTCGGAACGGAGGCGCGGCAGCCCTAGATGGGACTTGGGGAGTAAAGAAAGATGCCCGAGGTGGTTGTGATTTCGAAGGTGTCCCTAAATTTGCGAAAGGGTTGGGTTTCGAAGGTGTCCCTAAGTTTGCGAAAGGGTTGGGTTTTAAGCTCGATTTTGAGGGCGAAGGAAAGACTGCGATACGGGATATTAGCTGCTGGCACTTGAGAAGGACCTGTTGACTTGGTTTAGGGACTTTGAAATCCTGCAAAGCCTCAACTCACCATTCTGCGAATTACTCTTGGCTGCATGTGTAAAGGGACTCGTGGGATCAAAAGGGCCGCTGTCCTGGTATTCCCAGTCCATAGGACTTTCGTAAGTTCGACGATCCATAATCGATTGACAGCTAATGAGTAGCTCGAAGTGTTACGGTATAAGGCCCTCCCAGATGAACAGAGATCTTTTTGAAGTTTGGCAGCTTTTTGTGAACGAAAGCAGCTGCCACCAGATTCATCAATCAATCCATGGCAACTACCTAAAAGGCCAATGTAAACAAAGGTGCGGGTCACTTGCCTCAGGCTCCTAATTGGAGCTATGTGATTATGTCAGCAGACAAGGGTCGCGCCTCATGCCTGTGGCGGCTCCAACCAGGCAAAGAAAGTTGAAGGTTTGCGGATTGTTGTTTCTTTACCTGATCTTTGATGATCAAAGCTCTTAAACACTTTTCACGGGTGAAATTCCAGCAAAGCCCCTCTTTCAATATTGCCTGTCCTTAGAGAATCTACCATCTCACCATCCCGAAATAATTGCTGACGCAGTCAAACGCGATCGACGACGCGACGATGTCCGAAAGGGATTCCCCGATCGGCGAGCACGCCAACGAGCCTGTCAACGATGGTCAGGAGCAGGAATACGAAGATGCTCTTGCTGCTGCCGACTCTGATCGCGACTCGGATGCGCTGTCCGAAGTAGATGAGGACCAATTCGAGGACTACGACCCTGAAACTGCCAATATTGAAGATCGTCCCGTTGAAATTGATGAAGATGTTGCTCGCACGCTGAAGGCAACGAAGCGTAAGCGTGCAGAAGGTGAGGCACCAAAGAAGCCTCGCGAAGGTCGCCGAGATAAGAAGCGTCGAGATCGGGATGAAGATATCGAGATGGATGATGCAGACGACGGGACCAAAAAGCCCCGACGATCAAGGCGCGCTGCTGCTGATGGAGAACGACGCCAAAAGTCCAAGGCTGCCACGCCGGAACCCGAGAACGAAGACCATCTTTCACCAGAAGAACGGCGAAAGAGGGCTATTGACCGAGCTCTTGATGCAGCGATCAAAAAGCCTAGCGGCCAGAAGCGCAAGAAGAAGGACGAGATCGTAGGTACTTTGATGCATAGACAAGGGCGATAACTAACTTTCGTTTCCAAAGGATCTTGAGGCCGAGATCGATGACCTACTGGCGGATCTCAAGGTTAGAATGGAGGGAGCATGCCAGTCCGACAATCAGGCTCGTGAGGCTGGTCAACCAGCACTTCACAAATTGAAGCTGCTTCCTGAAGTCACTGCTATCATGAACCGCAACAATGTTCAGCATGAAGTTCTCGATCCAGACACCAACTTTTTGCAACATGTCAAGTTCTTTTTGGAACCGTTGAACGACGGGTCCCTCCCGGCCTACAACATCCAGCGAGATATTTTCAATGCTCTTGCCAAAATGAATATCGAAAAGGAAGCGCTCCTCAGCAGTGGTATTGGAAAGGTAGTTGTCTTCTACACTCGGAGTAAGAAGCCCGAGCCTAGCATCAAGAGAATTGCGCAGCGTCTTCTTGGAGAGTGGAGCAGACCTATCCTCAACCGAACCGACGATTACAAAAAGCGACAGATTGAGACACGGGATTATGATTACGAGTAAGTGGCTCATCGCTCTCTTTAATACCACTTTTGCTAACTAAGATATCAGCGCTGCCAAGATTGCACAACGCCAGAAAACCAACTCGCAGTTCAGTCTATCCCAACGTCCTGCACCTAACACCAAGGAGGCTGAGCGTGAGCGTCTTCTAGCCCCTTCACGCGGCAACAACTCTGCCCGTATGGTTAATCTTCCCTCGAGCTACACAGTCGCCCCTCAAAGCACTTTCATGGGAAGCCAGGGCTCGGGCCATCGTCCTCTGGGTGCCGGTGGTATGGAGGCATTCCGCAAGATGACGCAGAAGAGCAAGAAGCGTGCCAACTAAGACGGCTAATATAGGACTCCTCCACTGAGATTATTTGAAGTTGCATCTTTCATTGAGGAGCGTATTGATTGCGAGCTATTGGTTGATATCAAAGGCGACGATGGCAGAGGCAGATATCGGGTTTGGCGTTTAGGGCGTACGTATACAAGGAAGGCTATTAAACTCATAAAATGGAAGCCCATCATGATGGGCTAATGTGAACTGCTTTCTCAAGATCTCATATGTCCCATTTCCGACTTGGGTAGCAGTATGGTTGTTTGTCCCATGTCCTAGTACAATACGGGTGATCCATAACACACGTGCAATGCACGCGCTTGACACTGGAAGAAGAAGAAGAAGCTGATCCGGGCGTGATCACTTACACGACTGTAAGATGTTATTATTAGCCACGTGGCAAATAATAGGCAAGTTTTGTCATCTTGTTAAAACGTAGCGTCGCCGTGCTTCTGTACAAATGCACGAGATCCAGACACAAAAAGACGGCATAGATAATATGAGCCCATCCTATGAATACCTAGGTAAAGAAGAAAATATTGGACACAACCCTACATCCCAAAGGAGCGCCGTTCCAGGGTACTAATCTAAATCGGACACACCAATCGCTCATATAGTTGCATGGTATTCTTACCCAATATTGGTTTCACGACTGAACTATCGGGAACTGTGCCTTGGTAAGTTCTTGGAACGGTGACGTCAGGTCTCAATTGATGAAGCCCAAGATTCGATGGAGAGGCTACCTCCATGTTTGACATGCGCTATGGATGCGACTACGATCAAAACGGTCAATGAGAAGTTTGAGCAGCAGTCGAAGCGCGCCATAGTTATGAGATACATCTGCATCTGCATCTGCTACACGTAAAGTTAAATCAGTTTTACAGTGTTCTGAATCATTTTAGTGCCTAATATCGGTATACAAACTTGCGACATGCATCCTTGCAGGAGACAACCTGGAGTGCCCTGCTCGGTACCTGCAAGAATGGCGTCAGCTCCTTGCTCGAATCAATGAATGTGCAAGACAACTTTTAGCGCCTAATATGAGAGCATCACCGCGACTACCGACACAAGCAATTACCCAAAACAAATGCCGCTACCTGGCCGTCCAAATGCATTGTTTCTACGAATCCTTGCCTTGAGCCCGTCGTTCTTTAGGCACAGCAGGGATCAATAGAACAAGAGATCAAGTTTCGATTGCGACGACAAGCTCGTCTTTCTCTTTGTCAGTCCTTGCTGTAGGTTCTTGGGCTGCTCCAGGGCCGTGAATCGCTTTGCGACTTGACATACCCATCCACACATGCATGTATCTCGCGGATGGACTATCTGTCCCTGTTATTATTTTGATATTAATTATGCCGTGAGTCGTCTGAGACCGCCATCATAATGGAGCTGTTGTAATCTTGTTTGTGTTTATAGGGTTGTGAATTTAGACGCTTGCCTTGTTTACAGAAGCCAACGCAAAATTCTGTTGGCTGCTAACGTTAGGTGTACATACACTGCAAAAATCTGTCACCTTCCTCTTATCCCAGCCCAACCCATCAACCGGGACCCTGGCATCTGGGCCCCTCCTTGTTTCCATCAGTTGGCAGCTGGCTATTTCTCTTCACTCTTCTGCATTCTAAGTCCATAGATTTTATCTTTTTAAATAGTACACGGCTGTTTATTCTTCACCTTCCAGCACCTATCGCGACTTATCTGGATCACCATCTCCCCGTCATAAGCCATTACTCAGTCAACCAAGTTACCTACAATAGCTTGCTGGCTCACCTTGGAACCAATATAGCACACCAGCTAGCACTGATACTTTTGTTTGATCCTGGTAAAATACTGTGCTGGGCCGCTACTACGCAACACGACCCTGCCGCACCAAGATCGCAATTGGAGTACCTACCGCAATCATCTTCTGGTTATCTTGACTCTATTTCATCTGGAGCAGTTCATCTGGGCGATTTCGGTATTAGGTATCATTGATACGAAAGGCGAAAAAAAACATAGACATACTCTCTTTGCGATACCGACCGACCGAGCACTTACAAGCACCACCCCTCTTCCCCCACTTCAACTTCCATACCAACCTACCTATTTTACCGACAATCAAAGAAATTAGACGCTTGTCGCATCCTACAAACATACATTACGAAAGTTGAACGAATTCACGACACAGACCATTAACGACTTGGACATACGAGCGCTCTCTTTATTCCGATCTCGCATTACCATATAGACCCTGCACAGTCGCGCACAAGCAGACTGAACGAACCAAACACAATGAACGGCACACAATCTCCCGACGCCCAGAAGGCCTTGAATGCCAACAGCAACGGATCAAACAGCAACAATAGCAGTCTGGCGGCTAAGAAGCGCAAGAAGGACCTGAAGCCTATAATCACCATGGAGGGTGCAAACCAGACAGATGAGTATGTATAAGATATTTATTTGTTCGTCGTGTTATCTCTGTTTATCTTCCGTTCTGCATTACCCTCGTTACTTTCCATCCTGTCTTGGTTCTGGCAAACTTCCACTAGCCTTGGAAATTTCATGGTCGCACCTTGTTCTGCTTGTCGCATTGAAACCGCCCGAACGAAGTCTGCGTGGTCTACTCAAGTGATTTGTGACCGCTGGTTTTTTGCACGAGCTACGGCGTCACCAACAAGTTTTGGTGCGCATTGGTACCTGCGATTGTCCATCCACAGAATACGGGATTTTGCTACGGACATGAAACTACGCTCACGGCTTGCTTATGTCTGGCGATTGGCAAAAGTCAATGGCGGTCCCAACCATGCAAACATCATCCTATTCAGGTGCCCAGGAAACACTCAACAACATGGCGTGGCATGCTGTGTCACCTCACAGGGAACAGCCGTGAAGCAAGTTGAAACAAGTGTGGACATTGCTCACAGCGGCATTGTTCCCTTTGCACTGAGCCTCTGGGGGACTGTGGGCTTGGGCCTTGATAGGACGACACGACCCCATAAATCTTGGGCATTCACCAACCTTGAATCCCTCGATCGATCACTGGGCCCCTCTGTACCTGATCTCAGCCTGGCCTGCCCTGGTAGAGGTGCACTTGGTCACTCGCCTACTGCACCTTTCGAGGTGCCTGGGGCTGCCCTTGGCTAATGAAAGCGGAGGACGATGAGAATGTGATTGCCATAGTGGTTGTCCCTATGGCTGTCTGATTTACAACCACCTGACTTGTGTGTCTGCCATTCTGCCATCACTGCGCATTCAGCATTCACGTTCCCTGTCTTTCAGAAGGTTCTTGGTGAGCTGAACATTTGGACTTGAGCTCCCAAAGACCCTTTTATTCGCCGGGCGGGACGCTCCGTGTTGCGCCGCGTGCCAGCCATCCCATGGCCTTTGGCAGGGCCCTAGAGAACTGAAAGCCAAGCGAGTGCAGATCCGCAAAGACGCTGAGCCCAGAATCAAAGAATCAAAACCAAAGACAAGGAGCACGCCCCCGACCTCTGGTTAATCTCCAACAAATCTCCCTCGTCTTGGCCTGGCCTGTCTTTATATATATATTATTTTCCCCTTCCTTTGCTCCCCTCTCCTATTGCTCTTTGCCATAGCTTGCAGACGCCCGCGACCGCTATCGTCACCTAACATACACCTTGGTCATCATCGTCATTTTCACAAGATCCTTGTTCTTTCTCTCTTCTTTCCCTATTCCCCGCCCATCGTCCGCCACACCACTCACCAGCGTAACCTTTGCGTACTCTTGCCTCGATTATAACCACTTTCGCTGCCCAATTGACTTGGACGTGCTCCTAAAGCCAAGGAGTGCAGAGTGCAAAGAAGAAGAACCAGCGCCCGGCTTATTTATTACCAGCGTAAGCTGCGTCATGTAAAGACACCATGAGCAGCTTTCTCAAATCAAGGTTGCACCTCCCTACCCCGTTGACGCTCTTCCATTACATGCTGGCGCCCAGGATTGGGCTTTGGGCTGTTGGTAGTTTAGGGTCTGAGGTTCGACGCGCTGGTTCCATGAATGCATTGCGCCAGCACGTCTTGACTCGTTGCTACCTTATCTTCTTGGATGATGTTTTGATGCTTCCCCGCCATTTCACCACTCCCAAGCCCAATCCGGAAAAGGTCCCCCACCACGCGCAAGGCCATCAGCGCTTTCGCCGCCGTCGCTCTCCCACCAAATCTTGCGACCGTGGTTGTTTGTTCAGATTGCATTGGCTCCGCCATTATTTTCATTCATCATCAGACCCTTGCCTTCGTGCGCTGATATTTGCCGCATACCAAGATACATTCTGGGCCATCACTAACCTCTTTTCTCCTATTCTAGATCTCACCAACTCTCGGCCATGGCCCACTCCCCCTCATCCTCGTCCGTCGAAGACGCCGCCGAAAACACTGCAGACGAGGAAGATTCTGAAGACTACTGCAAAGGTGGTTACCACCCAGTACAGGTTGGAGAGAAGTTTAAAGACGGAAAATACACAGTCGTTCGCAAGCTAGGATGGGGCCATTTCTCAACCGTCTGGCTTTCCCGAGACAACACCAACGGCAAACATGTTGCTCTCAAGGTCGTCCGCTCCGCCGCCCACTATACCGAGACCGCCATCGACGAGATCAAGCTTCTCAATAAGATTGTTCAGGCCAAGCCCGACCACCCAGGTCGCAAGCATGTTGTGAGTCTTTTGGACTCGTTTGAGCACAAGGGACCTCATGGCACCCACGTATGTATGGTTTTCGAGGTCCTAGGAGAGAACTTGCTCGGCCTCATCAAGCGTTGGAACCATCGTGGTATTCCCATGCCCCTTGTAAAACAAATCACAAAGCAGGTGCTTCTCGGCCTCGATTACCTCCATCGCGAATGCGGTATCATCCACACCGATCTCAAACCAGAAAACGTTCTTATTGAGATTGGAGACGTCGAGCAGATTGTTAAGCGTGTCGTTAAGCCCGAAGCTGCTGAGAAAGAGAACAATCGTAACGGACGGCGACGTCGAAGAACTCTCATCACTGGCAGTCAACCACTCCCATCTCCCCTCAACACGAGCTTCAACCAGTCCAACCTTTTCCCCTCACCGACCCCCCACTCGAGTCTTGCTGGTGTTTTGAACGATGGTAAGTCGCTCAGGCATTCCCATTGCCTTGTCCTATTCGATAGAAACATGGCTAATCCATTATGCCGATAGGCAAATCATCAAATGAGGCATCCCCTAAGCCATCCGACGACGCTCAGAAGCAACGAGAAAAGTCAGCGTAAGTTAATTATCCTCACCAAATAAAAGTTTGTTCAAATACTGACAACGAACTTGAAGCGACCTTCTCAGCCGTGAGGTCTCTGGCATTTCTCTGGACAAATCAAGCTCCCCCCCTGCCGCAGCAGGCGATAAGCGCAAGGCGGAAGATGCGCATGCCTTCGACGTTATCAGCGTCAAGATTGCAGACCTGGGTAATGCTTGCTGGGTCAACCATCACTTTACCAACGACATTCAGACAAGACAATATAGATCGCCGGAAGTAATTTTGGGTTCGAAATGGGGTGCTAGCACTGATGTATGGAGTATGGCAGCTATGGTATGGGCCCCCAAACTCTTGATGAGGCTGTCACAGCTCTTGCTAACATGACTGCAATTACTAGGTGTTTGAGTTGATTACAGGTGACTACTTGTTTGATCCCCAGTCAGGTACCAAGTATGGTAAGGACGACGATCATATCGCCCAGATCATTGAACTTCTTGGACCGTTTCCCAAATCTTTATGTCTCAGTGGCAAGTGGAGTCAAGAGATCTTCAATCGAAAGGGAGAGTTGCGGAACATTCACCGACTTAGACACTGGGCTCTAACAGATGTCCTACGCGAAAAATATCACTTCAAAGAAGACGAAGCAAAGCGTATTGCAGACTTCTTGACCCCAATGTTGGAGCTGGTTCCCGACAAGCGAGCCAACGCTGGTGGTATGGCAGGCCATAACTGGTTAGAGGACACGCCCGGCATGAAAGGATTGAAAATTGAAGGCTTGGAGGTTGGTGGTCGCGGTGAGGGCATCGACGGGTGGTCGACGGAGGTGAGGAAGAGATAGAAGGACTATAGACGCTCCGGACATGTCGAATACAGAGGAACGTATGAACACAAGCCGACATTCTAGGCCATCCAGATGATGCGGATGACTAGTCTTTTTTTTTGATGACCCACGCGGCCCTAGGTGCTACACTTGTGCATCTGTTCGGACCAAGGCAATCTCCTCAAAGCCGCATGATTTCTCGTCTTTTTGGACAGGAAAAAGGTTTCATACTTAACCAATTGCTCAGCGTGCCTTGGTTTTGGCCATGAAGAGATATTGGGGTACATATGTTGGACTTGCACTATTACATGAAAGTCTCAAGAGTTGCATTGTTGAAATTAGTCACAGGACTATGTAGGTGAAAATGATAGACTTGACTTGTTTCACAGCGACTGATGTAAAATAATTTGCGCCCAATGCACAAGGCTATACAGCACCCAATGTGATTAAAACTAGTGCTGGTTTGCATGTGTCGACATGTAAAGGCAAAGGATTTATCAACGTGAAGGGCGTTTCAAGCTTCTACACCGAACGATCAATCATCATAGTCTACTTTCTAGAGCAGTAATCTAAGTTAGAAGTAATTAAGGGATAACGGAAGTTACGTCTTCGTAAGTGGAAAATCGAGTAAAGAAACAGTAGCATATACGTATTTCCTCCAAGGCTCATATAATGTAGATAGGTAGCTTTCAAAACGTTCGATTATTAATAAATGCCATAAACCCCATCTCCGTAATTTGTCAATACTTTCGTGGTCGTGCAGGACTACATTGTAGATCGATACATCTCATTTCTTTCCATTACCCCCCTTGCGTTTTCTGGTGTTTACAGCGGGACCATCATTGGGCGTGCTCACATCGACCATGGGGGGCTCACTGTCTTCAGGAGCGAACTTCTCATGAACACTGTCGCCATCAGTCTCTGCGTTTTTGGCGGCGTCCAGAACCTCGTTCATGATACGCCTCCCTTCGTCTAGCTCTCCGTTCGAGGCACCACATGACATACATCTCCATTGTCCAAGCTCGCTCAACGTCTTAGTTCCGGGGGGGGCCTGGCCATTTACAACTCGGCACGATTGGCAGATAAGAACGATACGATTCTTGGGGGCGGTCTCATCCTCGCCAAGGAGGACATCGAAGATACGGTCGTACCAGTGAGTTTCAGGGGCAGCGGTCGAGTAGGAAGAGTAACTTCTCTGCGGCAGCGGGGGTGGAGGAGGAGGCTGAGGGGTACCGGGAGCTGAAGGAGGTGGCAGAGGTGTAGACCATTCGGCATTAGGAGCGAATTCGGCACCGGGTTCCATGGGGTTTGGGCCTGGCATAGGACTGTGAGCCCGCTGGATGTTGGCTGTTGGAGGAGGAGGCATGCGCGTTCGACCTGGAGGCCCCTGGCCAGGGGCAGCATGTTGTTGCTTGCCAGACGTCTTGTCTGTATTCTGCTCGCCATCCTTCTTCTTGCTCTTATTGTCAGCCCCGCCGTACTTCTCGATTAACTCCATAGTGGAGTCATATTTGGTGGCCTCCTTGAGTTTCTGGATCGTCTTTGCGCGCTCTTGCTGATGCTCTCTAAGACGGGCACTGAGGGTCTCGATGCGAAAGCTGTAGTACGTAGCGAGGGTCGTGCGCGTTACGTAGATGCTGTCACAATTTCGTCAGTTTGTAAGTCGCATTGCCTACGTTCGGTGAAGAGCTTACAGCACCGGACCGCCTGTAAGACCGCCCCATTCGAAGGCACCGAGGTTGTCATATCCGACGACAAGAAGAAGGACGATCGCATAAACGAGATAAGCAAAGCTGAGGTATAGTGTCCAAATGACACGGGCGCGGCGAGAGCTTGCGCGGAAGTTGTCGAGCGAGGCCTGAGCATCATTGATCTTAGTCGAAAGCGTAGAAAGGGTTTTTTCGAAGGAAGCGGTGTCGGAGGATTCGCCCTACCAAGGATATGTTAGCAATTGCACTCTATTTCAGCAGAGACGAGGCATTACCCCCCAGGGCCAAAAGGCCACCATTTTAATCAAGAAGATAGATAGTGCAGGAAGGGCCAAGTATACAAAGAGAAGACAACAGAAGGAAAGAACACAAGGAAGGGAGAGTATGCCCAAGTGATGGGCGAAAAGAAAATATCGCAAGGCGAAGAAGAGATGAAGGGGAAAATAGAGAAAAGTGGCGATGTAAAGGAATGGTAGAATGTGAAGTTGAGTTGAACAAGTGCAAGGTGTGACCTCATTCAGCGGGCTCAGCTCATGTGGGCGACCTGAGGACCCAGGGGGAGAACAGGGAGGGCAGTTAGCCTGTGATAGCTCCACTGATGCTAAAAATGGGAGCTTGAGCTTCAATGGTCTACCCAGGATAAATGACAGATAGCATCAACTGAAACAATGTTCGCTAAATCAGGGGAGAATGTATACCAACAGGACTTATGGACGATTCTCCCTTCAATATGTTTCATTGTTACTAACTCAACTTACTTCTCAGAACATCACAATCAAGATACACGTCGTTTGCTTACAGGAGAACTAGACCTATATAGTACAAACGTTGTTATAGATCTGTCGTGTTAGTTATAGGACGCCTTGATTGTCAGCGAGTAGAACTCATTCACAATAACCGAAACGATTCGCTACCCTCTCGTCTTATCTTCTCTAATCTTGCTAAGGATGTCCATACGCCTATTTAAAACGCCAATACATAATATATACAGGTCATCTTGCACACCTCTCTGTGTTATATATAGTTCAGACTATAACCCATCCTACGCAGCTTCTATATCTCGGAAATGGGCTATTAAACTTTTCTGTCGCAAAGAGGGGTTCATCAGTTAAACTTGCACATATAGTAAACTAGGAAGGACTATTTCATCTAACTATCTGGATGCTTGTATGCCTGTCCGGGGAGAGGTAGGTATTAAATTCAAGTGTCTAAGCCACAGAAATACACGAGCCACATAATCTTTCCCCAGAAATTTTATGGTTACTAGTGGGTAGCAGAAAAGTTAGCATCCAAGGTTCAAGATACAAAAATAAATAACCTAAGAAGTATGGTTTGTACTGCATAGACTGGTCTATTTATTTCGTCTCTTGTGCTTGTAGCGGCTAACGTTTCTGGTACCCTGACGCATGGAAACACTGTAACTCTGTCCACTAACTAGCTACTTCTGCCAGCAGGGACCAAGAGCCTGCAACTCCTTTCATCATTTCAACCGCCAACAATCTCTCATTTGCCATGAAGGCGTTTTGTTGAGCTTCTTGACATTCCCTTCGTCTTCATTTCCCGGACACTCATTTACACATTCCTGTTTACTATCTCCAAGACTTACACCATTACCTACGTTGCGCGCGTCCCTTGGTCTCTAAGACGTTGGTCTTCGACTTGAGGGAGCCATCATGTTCCAAGTGAGTTCTGCCGTGACAGCTATCTGATCTGCGTTATACGTGCGGTCACTTACAATTGAACAGCGTTTCAAAAGCGCCATCGATCGGACCATTGCCGAGGAACAAGCCCGCCAGCAGACAGCCACCCAGTCGAGAAGCCCCTCTAGAACAGGCTCGACGTCGTCGCGCAAAGGCGATGCCACACCGGGTCAGCGCGAGAAGTCCCGAAAGCAAGCTTCCGATGTAGGCGACGCCCCCAACCCAGATCCTGCTGTATTTGAGGCCGCTTTCGTGATTGATGATAGTGACGAACCGAGTCGAGCTGCTACCCCATTGCCTCCTGCTGGTGCCGATGCCGACAATACCAATGGTCAAGAAAACGTGTTAGAAGGCAAGACTCCGGAAGGTCAGGGAGTCAAAGACGAAGCCAGTATGGACAAGGGTCAAGATGGTGTCACCGATGCTCCAGCAACTAAACCACAGGCACCGAAGCCTCAGGAGTTGAGCCCTGAGATTCGACAGAAGTTGCGCAAGTTGGAAAAGCTCGAGGCGACATATCCTGGTAAGCTCAACCCTATGATATTATAGATGTTTCTGGGACTGACCCCAATGTCTAGAACTGCTTCGCTCCTACCGTGTTGCCCATAGACGTGCCACGGCAATCGAGCCGTTCGAGAAAGCCCTTCGCGAGAACACACCCTTGACTTCTATCAGTGATCCCGATGCCCTTGTAGAATACCTCAACCAAGTGAACCTCCGGAGTGACATGGTGATGCAGGAACTGAAGAAGGTATCGACAGATAAGGAGGAACTGCAGAAAAAGTATAACGAAGCCGAAGAAAGGGCAAAAAAGCTGGAAGAAGAGCTAGCGACAGCGAAATCTGCAAGCGCTGATCAACCAAAGACGGGTGATTTGGAGACTTCTCAGGATGCCCAGAACGATAAGAGTAAAGACACTTCCACAGAGGAGCCCGAAAAATCGAAATCCCCTGTGTCCTCTGTCATGGGCATGTTCTCACCCAAGCACAAGCCTCAAAAGCCACTCAGCGAGGTCGCCGAAACAAAGGGGTCTAACGAGGAGTTCTTTTCTTACGACGATGAGATCCCCCAGCTTCAGGCTGATGTTGCGTCAAAGTCCGAAGAGATTGAGAAACTTAAGTCTAAAGTCGATGACCTCCAGAAGGAGCTCACTACAGCCAGAGAGACTAGTACTGGTTTAGTTGAAAGCCTGGAGAGTGCTACTAGAGAGCTGAGCGAGACTCGCGACGCTGCTACGGTAAAGGAATCGTTACAGGCCCAGCTTGATGACCGCAACAAGGAGATCACAAACCTCAATCAACGACTGGAGGAGGCACAGGCGCAACTCAAACAGCTAGAAGAGGACAAGAATGCGCATACAGTCAAGGTTGACGAACTCAAGGTTTCAATCGCATCGTCAGATAAGCGCGCAAGCCAGCTTGACGCAGAGTTGGCCAAGGCTTCTAACGCAAAAACCATTTCCAAGAAGCTGATCGATGACCTCAACAACCAGATTGACACCTTGAAGAAGGAAAGGTCCGATAGCGAGAGCAAGATTACCGATTTGACCAAGAAATTAGAATCCAAGCCCACGCCCGAAACGACTACATCTGCCGCAACACCAACGCCTACAGTTTCGCAACCCACGGCGGCCTCTGCGACAGCTGCCAGTGGCGGCGGTAAGAAGAAGAACAACAAGAAGAAGAAGGGCAAGGGCGGTGCCGGTGGTGCCGCAGCACCCTCTCAGGCTCCAGCAGCAGGAGGTCCCGTGGAAACTCTTGAGCCAGCAACTACTTCTGACGCCGCTGGAAATGCCGAGCTAGAGGCTGAGATTGCTAGACTCAAGGAAGAGGTTGTTGAAAAGGACATGCAAATCGATCGTCTTAGCAAGAAGCGTAAGACTGAGGAAGATTTACGGGAGGAGATCGAGTCACTGCAAGAGAACCTTCTCATGATTGGCCAAGATCATGTTGAGGCCAAGGACAAGATTAAGGATCTCGAAGCTGAGAAGTTGGAATTAAGGGCGCAGATTACTGATCTAGAAATGAAGATCAGTTCATCCACATCAGACGCCGAGGCTGGCTCCAAGCTGCAGAGCGAAATGGACTCCATCAGGACAGAATACAACGATCTTAAGGAGAAGACGTCTACTCTGCAAGCTGATCTTGGTGCCGCGCAACAATTGGCTCAAAACCGGTTCAAGGACCTGACAGAATTACGTGAGGTACTACAAAAGGCGCAGCCAGAGTTGAAGAGCCTACGCCAGGAATCCGCTACGTTGAAGACGACGAAAGAAGAGCTCGCCAACAAGACTAAGGAGCTCAGAGATATGGAGAAACGAGAGAAGGACCTAAAGCGGGATGTGGAACGTGCTCAGAAGCTATCCTCCGATCGCGAGACTGAGATCAAGAGTCTACAGGAGAAGCTGACTGTCGAGACCAACGCTAAGCTTCGCCTCGAGGATGCTCAGCGAGTTTCCGGACGAGACCTTCGTCGAAGCGAGGCCGAGAAGGCTGAAGTTGGTGCAAGGGCTGACAAGGCGGAGCAGGAGCTTCAGGCAGTGCAGGAGGAACTCGGCAAACTGCGACCCAAGGTAAAGGAGCTTGAAGAGCAAATGCACAAACTGAAGCGAGAGAAAACAGCAGCGCAGGAGGAGGTGGACTTCAAGACGCAGCAATACAGCAATGCCCAAGGTTTATTGAGCAGCATGCGAGACCAGACGGCCGAGATGTCACTACAACTGAAGGAATCCAAATCCCAAGCCGAGTCGTTGGAGGAGGAGTTGGCTGAAGTTCAGCGCTTGCTTCAGGAGCGGACACGCGAGGGCGAAACAATGCGACGGCTCTTGGCGGACGTTGACGAACGCGCCGACAACAAGGTACGAGATATGAGGGTACGAATGGAAGCTGCAGTCGAAGAGCGAGATCGAATCGAGGATGAGTCGGCCACCCTTGCACGGCGCAAAACACGAGAGACGGAAGATTTGAAACAGAAGCTGAAGGACCTCGAACGCGAGGTCAAGACTTTGACTCATGAGCGAGATGAGCTTGAGCAACGCGAAAAGGAGTGGCGCAAACGAAGGGAAGAGCTCGAGTCAGTCGAAGAAAAGGCTGAGGCAGAAGCCGACGAGCTCCGAACAACGGCGTTACAGCTCCGAACAGCCTTAGATGCATCAGAGAAGCAAGTCCGCGATGTGGAGAAGCAGCGAGCAGAACTTCGACGCATGCTGGAAGAGTCGAGGCAACGTTATGAGAAGTTATCCAAGGATCTCAAGGCAGCGCAGACCAAACTCGTAGCTAGTTCGAGCCGTAGTTCGTTTGATTCGGTACGAAGCGGAAGCAATGGTTCACCAGCTGGAGCCCCGGATACTGTCTACCTCAAGACAATCCTGCTACAATTCTTGGAGCAAAAGGACACCAAACTAAGAGCGCAGCTTGTACCAGTGCTTGGCAAGTTGTTGCGCTTCGACAAGTGAGTTACTTACTACCGACTGTATTCTAGTAGACAGTGGCTAATCTGGTATCTCTAGGATGGACGAGCAGAAGTGGCAGAAAGCTGTACAACATATTGAGGTTAAATAGATGGTGCAGGATGAAGCCAAAGGAGGATGGACAGGATATCATGGAACGGCGTTCGTGAGTTGGGTTTCACGTAGCTGAGATCTGTAACGGTACAGCTACAGAGATAATTGTAGGAATATTGTGAAATAAATGGACGTCACTGTTAGGAAGGAGCCTCAGTAATGTAAGGGATCGTGATGGTGTTGAAGTTGTCGAAGGTTGAGTGGGTCCCCAAGCTCCGGTTAGCCTCAATAGAAGTCATGACACTCAAAAATATGCAGAGATTACAGATTTATCTTGAGTCTTGGTTGGCTTGATTTATTGCAGCATTCGCCGTGTATTTCATTTGTCGGCCTTCAATTGACCTTGGAGATCGCGATCATGGCCAGCAGAAGTACGGATCATTCATCATGCTGACTCCACGTCGACGTCATGATAAGACCTTCTCTAGCACAAAAAGAATGTGCAACTCCAATTGTTTTTCCATTGACGTGCTTTCTCTGGCCACGCCGGGCACTTTCCTCCGACAAGTTTCGTCATGGATAGAGCTTCTACGGCAGGAGAGCTGCATTGACCTCATGTTGGAGCTATGAGCTCGTCATGTGCGTAAATACAAGGACAAGGAGGAGGTTCATTCATGCTCATGACAGCCTCTTCCTGTCAGTTATTCCTTTTTATTGTGTAACTACCCCTCTTTTTTTCTGCATTTGAAATTTGAAATCCATATAAGAATCATGTCCAAGCAGCTCGCTCATATTCCTGGAGTTTCCAACTCCAGAAGCATTCTTGCCCCTACCCTCCGATTCACAGCGCCTCTGATTAAGAACTCTTGCGTCCCAGCTACAACCCAATTCAGAACCTTTCAAACAAGCATCCGGAGATATTTCCAATACACCACAAACAAGATGGCAGGCATACAACCAGCTAGCGGCGGCGAGCAGCGAGACTTTGCTCGCGACAGTCTTTTTGACCTCAAGGGCAGGGTCGCTCTTGTAACAGGTATGTTTGGTATCTCGACTCCTTTCTCAAAAACTATAGCTGATAATAAACAGGCGGTGGCTCTGGCATTGGCCTAATGGCTACCCAGGCTCTCGCTGTCAACGGAGCAAAGGTCTACATCACTGGCCGCACGAAGGAGAAGCTCGACCGTGTTGTCGAGAACTACGGCAAAAATATTGCCGGAGAGATCATTCCCATTCAGGCCGATATCGGTAACAAGGAGGGCATTCAGAAACTCTTGGACGAGTACAAGACCAAAGAGGACTGTCTATGCATCCTCGTCAACAACGCCGGTATCTCAAGCAACTCTTTCCAGGTTGAGGCCAATTCCGCACAGGACATGAAGGTGAACCTTTTCGACAACAAGGATGCCACCTTTGAGGACTGGAACCAAACATACAACACAAATGTTACTGGAACATACTTCACCACCGCCGCCTTTCTGCCTCTTCTCCAGCAGAGCAGTGAGAAGAACCAAGGCTGGAGTTCTACCGTCATCAACATCAGTTCCATCAGTGGTTTGATTCAGAAATCTCAGCACCACTTTGCCTACAACGCTTCCAAGGGTGCTGCTGTTCACCTCACTCGCATGCTCGCCGCAGAAGTTGTTAGCAACAAGCTCAAGATTCGAGTCAACAGCATCGCCCCTGGTGTATTCCCGTCCGAGATGACCACTGACGGAAGCGACGAGGCCCAAAAGAGCTTCATCCCCAAAGAGAAATATGCCGAGAAGGTTCCCGCTGGACGGGCCGGCAAGGATCAGGACATGGCTGCCACTGTACTGTTCTTTGCCACAAACCAGTACTTGGTTGGACAGACACTTGCTGTCGATGGAGGCTACACAATTGCCGCTGGTCAGTAGAGAGTGAGAGTAAATACTCAAGTTATAATATTAGAACGAAACAATATTAATGAATGGGACATTATGATACAACAGGGTTTGACGATGGTTTCCTGGCGTGAAAAGTAACTGATCATTGTCTTGATATGCAACAGCAGGAAATAAAATGGTTACAGTCATTTCAAGTTTGTCATGAGTAGAATATTGCCAAGAGCTGCTGGGTACACGTTAAATCATTGACAGGCTTCATAACAAGTTCTGTTTTTGCTGTCACAAAAAAAAGACAGTCTTTAGATTGCAGGTAGGTCGGCAAAATAAAATACTCCGGTACAGGGAATCGAACCCTGGGCTCCGCGGTACTTGATCTCTCAGATTATGAGAGCGCGAAATGTTAGCCACTACACCATACCGGATTATAGTTAAAGAGATTTGACAGAATACATCATACACTCCAGAGCACGTTGCATAAGACCAACAACAGCATGGTTAGGGTCTTGACATCTCTATTTACCTAACAAACTAGTTCAATAATTAGTTTCTGCCCTTCTATTCTTCCTGGGTTTTATCGAGTGGCAGTCGTATGGTAGGCGACAAGGTACTGGCTCTCGAATTCACTTTAGAGTGTCGTGAATGATTGAAGGACTTGCATAGCTTTGATAGCGGTTCCAAGTCGATCTCCCATAACCTGGATGTAGCCAGCAAGTGTATTTGCCATTTCACTGAAGTCTTTGGTCTTAACCTTTTCAAAAAGAGTCAGTTACTTTGTGGGAAGCCGTCAAAACACAATCCTGCAACAAAGACTTGAAGCAGTACGGTAGGCAAAGTTCAGACATTTATGGACATGACTGAATCTACCCATAAACTTAGGTACTCAGTGCCTCTTGACTATTGGAAACTTTGATCGTAAGGCCTTAAGCCACGTCGCTACAGCCACATTTTACCACCTTTCTTCTTTGCCCTTCGCTCTCTCTTTTCCTTTACTCCACTTGATAAGCTCCCGCTGTCTGACTCCACCTCACCGAGATCCTGGTGCTCATGTCCCTTCCTAGCACACTCCCCCCTCACCAACCATGTACCAGGCCACCATAAGTAACCACAGAAGTACATACGACTGACTTGCAAGCCCTCACTGGTCCCCGCTGCAATGGCGGCTTCACCCGCTGTACCGCACGCACATCAAGAGACATCCATCCGTTCCCAGAAATATGGCTCACGCTTAACCTCTAGAGGAAGTGGCCGGCCCCCAGAGTAGTGTAGGGCTGAAGGGATTTTCTACCAAGAGTGCCCTACATGCATCCTGCTGCATTGCGACATTGGGCTACCAAACCATGGCTGGTGTCTGGGCACGATTCTCTTCTTCGTGGTTGATTGATCGCGGCATTTGTCTTTGTTCATTCATAGGCCATCACTTTGTATTCGTAGCGAACATTACATTTCAATAGATGTTTGAAGAAAAAAGTCCTTATTTCTCATATAGGTTAACCATGCCACAAACAGTGGCTCGCTCAATCTCTGCCACGGACCAGAAGGTTGTCCTTTTGAGGCCGCCTCAGCAAGGCTGATGTGGAATAACCTCAATCCATCCTGTAATCTGTAATCTGCAAGCGTGGCGGCTTGACAGCTTTCGGTACCCTCATCGACTCGATGTGAGTCTACATCTTCAATTTCCAGATAAAATGATTCCCATGCCACAACAGTCTGTTGGTAGGGACCATATACAAAAACGCCGTACATGCAATGCCTCGATATTTGCAAACCCTCGCCCCAACAGTATGGAAAACAACAAGACTCGTTAGGGGCGAGATGAACCAAAGAAAATCGAGAGCGAGTAGTAAGAAAAAGTGGAGTGGTGACGTGATCGCGCGAGGGGGTCAGTGTATATCGCACTCCGGGTATCATGATGATGAGAATCCCTTATGCTCTGTTGTATCGTTCAAATGTGCCGTGATGCCGAATGGTGCCTGTAATCATGCGGGAATTCAGGCAGAGAGATGAAACGAAGAGACGAAACGAAAAGCAAGCATGCCAACAGAAGTGCTCCAAAACAAACAAAGGCGTAAAGATAAAGAGAGAGAAAAGAAGGCCTATTCAAGGCCAGAGACACCTGGAATGCAATGTTGCTTCGGCTATTCCAGGAGAAGAAAGAACCATCCAATCAGGCGGTTACAAGTAATCGACTCGCTGAATATAATAATGCTCATTCCCATAATCCATGAAGTCGTATGTCTTGAACGAGGTGTGCTGTGATGTCTGTCGTGCGATGAAAAGACATGGCAACAGACCAATCTCACAGGTACTGTTCCATCCACTTCGAATTGAGCCAGCCGACCTTTTCAAAAGCAGTCCACAGTTTTGAGGCTTTGTTCACGTCAATTTTGCAAGCCTGTTGAGCATCCGTCTTGCGGAACTCTTTCTTGCGACGGTAGCAGTCACGTCGTGACATAAATATACGTCTCTTGCTAGTCAAGTAGGTGGCAGCATCCAGGCGCAGGCTGCTTGCTAGGGACACTTCATCGGGATGAAGGTGTATCTTGTTTGGATCGTTGCTGAGATCGAGTGGCTGACCCTTCCACTCCACCTTGAGACTGTTGGGTTTGTTTGGCAATGAATCAAGAGGCGGGCAGTAATTCTCCAGCGAGGCAAAGTCCTTATCCTCACGGTTGGGAGGAACGACACGACGAGACGGCTCAGGAGTGGCACTAACACGACGAGCTGGTCGCACGATGCCGGCGCCAGGGCTGGGGCCGGCGGGAGGGTGGGTACGGATCGGCCGCGGGGTGGATTGGGGCTTCTGGACCCGATCGCCGCGTTGTCGAGGTGACTTTGAGGTTTTGGCAGGCATGATCTTTGGGAAACGTTTACCATGAGCATTGCGAGCGGCTTGGTCCTCTTGGAGGTAGCGCCGTTCCTGTCGGAGCCAGCCCCGGGGATCTTGTCGAAAGTGCTTCATAACTTGGGATTTGAAGGAAAGAACCAGACGATAATGCTCGCGATTTGGTGGTGCGACCATGCCGAAAGCTGCAGGGGACTGAGAGCGAGCACGGATATGTTGATCAATGATTTTATCGTGGTCTTGCTCAACCTCAGCGGTGGCGAAGAGAGGCTGTTGAGCAGGGCTAGACGGCACCTCGTCGACAGGATAGAGAAGAGGGTCCTTGATTGCATTGGAGGGCCCAGTTGGAGCCTCTGCGGTCGAGACGGGCTGGTTGTAAGGAGAAATTGGAGGAGACATCGGCATTGGGTGCTGCTTCTCGCCATCAGTCTTGGAAAATGCTGACTTTCCGGTGTCGTATTGATTGTGATGAAAACTATCTTGAACGTGATCCGGAGGCGACATCAAGTGAGGATGGTTGTTGTTGTAGGCCTTTGAGGCAGGGTACTTGGGAGGGCCCATTGGGCTGCTCCTTTGCGCGCGGTCCATAGAATTGGACGCCATTGCTGCGATGTTTGTGTTGAACGACGATATGTTGATGAAGAGGGGAAGAAATCCAGATGAGTGTTTGAACTGGAATAATGCGTTTGGAATTGTTAGTTATGGTCGAACGTGGTGGAAGATGTCTGGCAGTGCAAAGACGGAGGATGGTTTGTCAGCCACGAGTCGAGTTGCAGTCAGTCAGCGACAATGACTGTTGGTGTGGCAAAGCCGTTTGTTTGAGCTCTTTTTAGGAACTAAAAAGAGCGGCGGGCTCGCAATTAATAGGTTGAGAGAAACGCCTGAATAAGCCGGAGTATGAGTCTTGTCGGCTTTGTTTGCGTATGCCCAAAGTGTTTATAAGTGCGCTGTCAGTGACTGGACGGGCGCCTAAAACCAGAGTACCTAGGCAGCAACAGGGCGGCGAAACTGGAGGAGGGGGGGCGAAGGAGGGGGGCGGAGTTAAGAGGGAGGGGGGTGAGATATAGGTCCGAAAGACCAAGCAAAACCCGATCTGTGGGACGGGCACCGTACCAGACCGTATGACTTTGGAGAGCAATGGTTCTTGATACTGCCGACTGGACAATCAATTCGACCGTAACCTGATGACCTTTGAGGGTTGATGATGTGACTAGGCCAATGGTTATCGATTGATGAGAATGCTGATGGCTAGGGGGCGCTCAATGACGGTTGCGCGCAGAAAGATGTTTGTTGAGATGAAGGCTATCGGAACGAGACTCTCGAATGATTGACGGATTGGTCGAGGTTCTGGCATGCAATTGAAAAGGAGAATGCAGGTGCTGTTTATAAAGCAGTGGAAAAGAAAAAAAAGAAACCTTTCCCGCATAGAGCTGCACACGAGAGTTCAATGTGGGCAGAAAAGGTAATAGTAGATCAAGGTTTTCAATTTGCAACTGGGGAAAGTATGTATACGGTTCAATTTGTTTGCGCAAAATTTCAATGCAGATGCGAACGGAGGTAAGGAGAATATCAAGCAGAAGAGAGGAGAGCGAGTACAAAGAAAGGAGGTCTTTGTCTCGGTAAAGAGCCAGCAACAGGAAGTCTTGTTCACCTTCCCCAACGAATGTCCAATTGGGAATAGATTAGGTCGTAGTCGAATACTCCTCCCCTGCGAGTAGAGCAGCAGTTGAGGGAGAGAGGAGAGAGGAGAGGCCTTTCGTTTCGAGACGGCGCCAGAGCAGGAACCGTCAGGATGACTGTGCGCTTGCTTGAGCAAGCAGACAGGCGTGTGGGGGTGCTAGTGGAACGAGATGTCGATTGATGCTCAGGTCAACGTAAAGGCAATAAACGTTGCAGCCGGCCGGGGTCAGGAGGAGAGATTAAGGGTCCATCAGTGATGCTCAAAGTCACAGTGCAGAGGAGAGCAGCAAAGGAAAAGGGAATGGGGAATGGAAAGGGAGAAAGGAAAAGAAAACAAGCAAGCAAGAGCACAGAAAGGGGCGTGTCATGGCTGATGTGAACTGCCTAACAATCAGCACAATCTATACACTACAATACGGTGTAGTTGAACTACAATGCACTCAGAGTCTATTATTTCGGTACAATGGCTCAGCTCATACACTGAGACTCCCTTTACTCACACGGTGGCGCCTTGTGGAAACGGAGAAAGGAAGACAGGCGGACGGGAAAGATCAAAGAAGGAGAGGGAGGGGGTCAGGGTAAGGCAGAGTGTAGAAGATCGACTAGGCGTGTGCGTAATAAAGGAAACGTGGGTTTGGCGCAGCCACATTGAGATGGGATGCAACAGAGTCAATATTACTATTCACACACCTAAGCCTGGCCTCTTTTTTCTTGTTCTTTTTTGAGATACTGGACAGTACTGATACAGTATCCGTACGTCGGTAGTAGGTAATCTATATCATTCAGCATCCAATAGACATCAATTGTCACCTTGGCGACCTCCCTTCCCTTTTCCCTTCCCCTTCCTAGACGATAGGTTTCCGGGGCTTGAATTGTAAGTTAGACACCTGCAGCTCCCTGCACCGACCCTGATTGCTGTAGGGGAGATCCAAAGCTAACCTAGCATATGTAAGTGGGCCCCGAACAACTGTCCAGTGCCATAGAAGGTTCGATTAGCCTTCGGTGAGAGAGAGAGAGTGAGGATCCATTGGTAAGGAATTATGAATTAATTCCGGTGACTACCTACTCAGACATTGGATCAAAATGACAATTTGAGGACATTGTTGATTCATGGTGAGAGTAAGAATTGACGCAAAGAGTTTCACAATCAATTGACCTTGTATTTGAGTGTATCTTTGATCCCCCATCATCTGCTTCTCAAGCCAAGTCATGTGTGATCGCGCAAAGGTCATAAGGGACTTCTTGTCAACCACGGGAGGGGTGGATCTGTGGGTCCCGTCCTGGTTTCCAGAGCAAGCGGGTGGTGACGGGCTGACCCTTCCTTCCTTCCTTCTTCCCTCCCAAAATAAATATCCTACCACAATCATCTGGAAACTGAATCACTAAGGGTGTGCCTGTGCCTACATTTTCCAGGCTGTTGGTTGTTGTAAACAAGGAGGCAGGCGGGCAGGCAGATTGTCAATTACAACAGCCTCAGTATCGCAAACCTACCTACCTAGACTCCAATTGTCCAGCCTATTCTTTGACGCTCAGCAAGGAATTGGGCTGTAAAGTCAATTCAAACGAGGAATCTCGGGCTTAAGCTAGTGTGTGGGTGGAGAATGAATGAATGAATGATGAAGCAGAGGAGAAGAGGACAAAGCAACTCACAATTGAACAGTGACAATCAATCTGAAAGCCTCAGCCAAAGGCCCAAAGCCTACCTCCCCTTGCCTGTCGTATTCCACATCAAGATGGACGGACCATGCCACTCAGGACAGCCGTCAGGTCCCTTATTAGCTCCGCGGGTAAAATTGCCCAATATCTCGAGCGAGCATCTCATCTCGTGCCTCTAGACTATCTCTATCTACCTACGGTAATATGCCAGGGCAGCCTGAGGTGCATCGGTGGTCACTGAGATCGCCGCCCAGGTAGTTTTGTGTAGGCGTCTGTTTGCCCGTCACAATTCGGTCTTGAGACCAAGGCATGGATCGGGGCAGAGGCTGTCCATCAAGCATTTTTGCCAGGGCACTGGTGATGCCAGCAGTTTGTACGCCATTGCGTCCTTGGAATGCGGTATGAATGTAGGTACACGTTCCACCTATCCTATTCAGCCTTCCATCACATACAGAGGCGCTGTGTGGCTTGGTCAGAATTGGCAATGTCCACGAGGCCGGCGCCAAGTCTCCCAAACTCAGCTAGTTTCCAACGTAGGCGCCATCCTCCTGTTCTGTTCCTACAGAAGCCTTCGGACAAGAGATCTAGCCTGCGTTTATTCAGCGGCAGATGCGCGTCTTTATGTTAAACATGTTCCTACCAGTGCCAGGGCGATCATGATGCCATCTGAACTTGAGGACATCACACGAGTAGGCTTCACAACACCATCACTGATTGACTGTCTTCAACTGTATTTGCTACTTAATCCTCACCCACTTATTGTGTTATTGAGTCTCTCGACAGAAAGACTGATCTCGTCTTGTCGCCCCCCGCCCCCCCTGCTTGTTTCCCACCGCGACAAATCACGATCGCAACGATACATAATACCCAGTATCTGAGGGGGCGTGTAGTATCCGTGTGTGATGGTTCATGTCTTGAATCAGCCCTCCTTTTTCTCGCTACCCGGTGCCCAATTGATTGAAGGACGTCATCTCGCCAGTTGTCACGACTTGCACATACCTCTACAATCACCTTGACCACATTCACATACGTGGATTCGGAATAACACAGGCGACTAATGTGCCAGCACTCAGATGCTCTATCATCTTCGACTCCCATGGTTCCCCGCTTGGCACTGCATCTCGTCAATCGTTCCCGCATCCGGATTTCGATTTCCAGACCCTTTGTTTCGGCCCTGAAGGGTCCTGGAGGATCAACATTGTCCAAGTACCAAGAACTGTCATGGCACGGCAATGTTCATTTATTCAACCATTCATTGTGGTTCGTGTCGACTCATGATCTAATCCGATGTTAGGCGCATGAAGTGTATCGCATGACTGAATTATCGCAGTATATGAGCGTTGGGTCGTTCATACATGTATGTGTGTATTGCGAATCATGCGTGGTCAATATGACATCTTAAGCTATGAAGGGATGTTTTGTCAGACTATATATTTGCCGCCTTCGGTTATTCCACTATCAATTGCGCTCCCAATCCTCATCAATTGAGGCTGAATGCTTCTCGTTCACCTTTCTATTCAGACATCTTACATTCAGACACAGCGTCGTGGTGCGTCTCCCACACCAATATGATGTGAGTCACAGGACAGAGAGAAACAGGCTTGGTCTATCACAAAATAGACTAAAGAGACCGAAACAAGACCTGGCGCCAAGTTATATCCGGTCTAGTGAGTCTAGTCCCTTGACATATTTGGGGGCTCATTGAGATGGATGTGAATTGCGACAGGGGGAGTGAGTGGCTGGCCTGATGATTGACGAACATCACCGTAGATTATCGATAAGGACTTTGGGGGGTCTGCCAAATTGGTACCTTGGAGGCTTCTGGAAAGATTGTTGATTGGTAACTGACTGTTGGGCGTTGACGATGAATTGAGTTGTAGTTGATGAGGAATTATATGATGGCATTTACATACACCATAGCCAGGTCCTAAACGCTCTGTCCCTTGATGCCAATGGCATGAGTCAACTCTTTTTATCGATGGACTCTGAAGATTACATGAAATATGTTGGCCTGTATCCCCCCTATCGATTCAGTCTGTCAGCAAAAGACAATCTATGGTGAAGGGCAATGCAAATTCGGTTCCTTTCGATCTTCCACTGCATAAACTACTAAATATTGGCTCTGTAATTATGTACGGCTTGTTGTGCTGTCCGTATCCCAAGCTCATCATTGATGAGTGTCCGGCCCAGCCGAAGGAGAATCGGACCCAGGAAGTGCAGGCTCCGTAAGTACCAACTTGGGTACTTGTTTGCAAGACAACTCACATAAGCAAAGTTGGGCCGAGAAGTCAGCCGAGCCAAGTCCTTTCGCCAGATGAACTTGATTCGTAATTATCTCTTGCCTACACAGCTTGTTTCGTGATCTATCGATCGAGTAGACCGTTCCCCAGATTTTGGACTTACATTAGTAGTAGAAGCGGTGGAGGTAGTGCGCTGCTAACAAGGTTCCCCACCATTTCTTTTTTGATCATCAACCGACGTTTTGGCAGCTGAGTGATTGAAGGAGCGCATGACTACCTATGATTGATTGTCGAATCTTTAGATAACGAGATGCTCAACTACTTCAGGATGTCCCTTTCAATTCAAGTGGTCCTGATAATATCTACCCTCCACGAATTGGTGCCAGAGTCGACTTCTCCAATGCCTTGGTTGTGAAACGGCCCGCTCGGCGCGTGAACCCTCCGTCCCATCCACTTCATGTACTCATCGTTTTGATGGTGGTTGTCAAGGCTTGCTCCTAGAGGGTGGCTTTCAAACTTGAGAGGACCACGGCTTGATAAGAGTGTGTGTCTCTGAGGCTCACGAGGCATGTTTCCGTGGAGCATCACTACTACTACCATACATTCGGTCATTTGACTGCCTTGGTCTGAGACAGTTCGCTTTATCTTGACACGCTCAGACAATGTCTCAATCTCTCTCCCACAAAGAAGTACTAAGTCCCCAAGGTAAAACACGCACGAGACTAAGCAACTCCCGCACCGCATTGCATGGCATGGCAGCGCATGGCCCTACAGGATCGGAGACAATCAGCACCAGACATACCCTGGGTTCTAGGTCGCTTTCGGAAAGTCAGCGAAGGTGAGGGAGGGGAGGAGATGTGTTGCGCATCAGCATTAGCAGCACATCAAGCAAGTCATTGTTGACCATTGTCTCAGTGTCAACACAGGGAACTACAAGAACAGTAACCAACTTCGCACTAATGAGAACCAATGCTAGTATTGGCCGATGGGCGCGACGGTGGAAAGATTAGTTGATTGATCGATTTTTATCGAGAGCGGTCAGCATTCTCCAAGTTGTTCCTTCTCCATTGATATTCATTCATCCGACGAGGTTAGAGGTGGATGCAACAATCCAAGGCGTTGCTGGATCCTACACGATCTAGACCCTCAGATTTAGAACTGCCCGCGCATGTGCATGTGCTAGCGAAAGACGTCATATCAAAGACCTTCCATGTCACAGGCGTATCAGCTCCTACTACAGCAGGTACTAGAGGCATAGACTTTAGTGCTGTTTTCTAGCGGTGCGAGCCAGCAACCCCGCGATGGAGGGGTCGAATTGAGTCAATTCACTCCAACAATTGAATGAGATATTATATCTCACCTCTGACCCGCGTCATTCGCAATGGGGCGGAGTGTCTATAGCGCCGTTTTGAGGGATCAATTCCATGTTTCATGCGCTTACAGCGTCGACTAGAAGAGTGTCATCTGTTCTTTTCTGTCTTTTGGCTGTAAACCCACTGCTCGTTATTACTATCATTTTGTTCCAGTCAAAGAAACGGTGAGCGTAATCTGATCCACCGTCTCTGCCCAAGCCGTCTTGTAAATACACATAATTATCGGCCCTCCGTTTCCCATGTGTCGTCCCTGCCGTCTTTCGGTTCGGCCAATCTCTGGCGACAATTGGTGAGGGATATTGCCTTGTTTGGCGGCTAGGTTGTAGTAGATAAATTCGGGCCGCGTGCACGGGTAACAACTAAAGCTAAATTTCATTTGAGTCATCAGTTACGACACCTGTTTTTCAGTGTTTGGTGTATCAACATCTTTGTTTTTGTAATTACTGCTTCCTAGGCCCATTGCTGACTCTTTATCACAGATGGCTCCAAAATTCATCTACTCCACGCAATATTCTTGTGTCAATAGCATTCAATGGCAAGTCAACTTCGCACATCCAAGTCCGTGATAATCACACTCCCCCAACTAGAACCGCCTGCCTGTCCTGTCTCCCTCCGCCTAAAGAAAAGCATCCCCACTATCACCCACCCATGGCCACAAGACAACTCAACTCTACTAGGTATAAGTATAAAGGACGGGCTCCACAACATCCAGTCAATCATCTAGGTCTTGTTCCTAGACTTGACTTGATTAGATAGAGAATGGAAAAATGGCTCCTCTGTTACTACCATGTGAAAGTCGATACCCCTCGCTTGGTGGGGGTCTTTGTTCTCGACGGTTACGAACATCGGCAACGTGCACTTTCTAATGGTCTAGTCCAGTGTTTACGTACCCAGATAGTAGGTCATCATGTGGGTATTTCACAGTACAAGTCTAACGAATTGCCTCTCTGCAAAGGAACATACGGTCAAGACCAAGAAAAAGCCTGGCGGCGTGGCGCATGTTGGCTCGGTCGGACAAGGCTAGGGCTGCCAGGCAAGCAATGGATGGCCACTGCATTGAATTGAATCCAAGCAGAACTCAATTGACATAGCTGATACGCTGGCACAAGGCACTGTACTATTCCCATCCATGGTCGTTTCAGAACCTTGGCGTGTCAGTATCTGCTTGGGTAGAGGAAACCCAATGGCATTGTACAGCTGATCAACACGTCTACTGGAATGGCAAGATGCGATGAAAGTTACTCTTTTGTTTTTTCCCTTGTCTCCTCTCTGATGCGCTGTCAGTGTGACCTTGGTTTCTCCGTTTCATGCCGTGGAGCCACACAATGCATGACATGATATGCAACGCCAATTTCACTGGGGAGACACTTCAGCAGACTTCTGGTGCATCGTTGAGTCAATGGGTGTTGTTTCAGAAACATGGGGGCCTGAAGATCTCCCCTCTCAGGATGAAGTTTAATCTTTGCGTTGATGCATTGATCGCTCATTACCTAGGTATCTACAGTATACAACCTGACAAGTCACCCCAGATTGGTGGCCTCGGGCTATTCGAGACATTTCAGCCCAGGCTATGAATCCGTCCATACAGCCACCCCCTGATGAAATGCAGCTTCTGTACGACCTTGGTTTGGCTTGCGTTGCCTTTTTCCGAATTGGCTTTCCATGTCTCGATAAGCTTCAGCTAGCGAAACGGAAGTGCCTGGATTGATGCTCCGGCCTACGAGCCAGTGACTATGTCGGACGATCCATCGGTATGTCGCTCAGAGTTTAATCGCAACGCCTGGACAGTCAGGTTATCAGTTGCTGCGATTAAAAAGCAGGACCCAGTCGACCTACTTCTTTCTTTGTCCGTATCACTGATGATGCGCCAGACTTGTGTCCGTATCACTGATGATGCGCCAGACTTGTGTCCGCTCCGCGTAAGCAAGGCTTGCTAGGACTTTCAGCCGTGCTGCCTTGGTGCCTAGAGCCTCAATAGACAAGCATTGGTTTGCAACGGGTGGCTGCTAGGACTTCCGCTGAATCATGATACACACTCTGGTATTGTCACTTGCCACGCCTAGCTGGTGTCCCTCGCCAGGAACGTGGCGTGAGCCGGAGGCGGCGGCGATTGCCATTGTAGGTAAAGTCCCGACGCGAATGTATGTTGTCCATTTCTCAATAGAACAATGATGAAGTCGCTTTTGACTTGACGATAATGGCGGTGTCGGGCAGTCAGCATCATGTAAAGTCGTAAACCATCAAGCTCTCGCGACCGTCTCGTGTCTCTTTGAGAACGATGACCATCTCATCGTCAAAGCCGACCCAATTCCTGCGGTCCTCCCACTCGGCCCGCGGTACTGTTGTAGGACTGTCTGTGCCATCAGCCGGTTGCCTAGTCGTAGGTCGCACCTCGATGCTGCTGCCTCCGACGCGGCCCTCTAGCTCCCATACGCGGATCTCGTCGCCCCGTGTGCTTATACTAACAGCCTTACCCCGCGGTGTAATTTCAGCGTCCGAGATGCCTGACGTGTGGCCCCAGAGGCGGATGCCAGAAGACAGCGAGAAAGATTTGGTGGTTGACGTGCAGAGATATAAAACAAGTGTGTTGTCTGGCCGTGTGGCGAGGAGGTATGGGTGGCTGTAACAGAGGGTCATAAGCTCTGAACGTGACCCGTGAGTTCGGACAGTATCGACGCCGCCTGAGGCTGCAATGGGGAGTGTCGAAGCAAGGCGGGATGTCAATTTGTCAACGCCGGAGCCATCGGGAGACGGCGTTATGAGTAGGTCTTGGACGCCGATACACCAGCCGTCGCGGACTGGGAAGGTGTACGCGATAGAGGCGTTTGCGGAAGCCGGCATACGTCGTATCGATAGAGCGAGAGGAAGGTGTGTGGTGTGCGACTTGAGAGACGTAAGAAGGTAGGGCGGCGGCAGGATCGTGCTCATGTTTCGAGGCTTCACCTGTTGCTCCACTGCCCCGTGCGAGAGCGGTTTGATAATCTTGTTGGCATTGTTCGTAGAGTCGTCTGTAGGCTCAGGGGCCGGTCGATTAAATGTATAGAGTGAGATCAGACCAGCCGTTGTCGCTGTTAATACATAAGGATGACCGCAGGCAACCGCGATAATTTCCCCATTGCAGCTTTTCTCGTGCCGGTATCTCCGTGTCAATTCTTGTTGTTCCAGGTTCAACCGCCACAGCCCGAAACCGCCATTAGCAAATCCCACTACAATATCCACCTCTGTCACGGAGCTGCTTTCGTCCACTGCAAGCGATGTCGGCGCATTATCATCATGTTCGTCGCCCTCGCGAAATTCGAGTTGCGCGGTTGGCCGTCGCGTCCGAAGGTCCCATGCGCGTAATCCAGATTCCGAGTCGGCCGTTATCGCTATGCCCTCAACGACCTTGATCAGCGTTCTCTTTTGCCCGTCACCCTCTTCTGACGCATCCCGCACGCTGACTTCCTCCACTGCGCATTTACCTCTGGCCCAGTTGTGGCGTAACTTGTATTGTCTCTTCCAATCAACGCTTTCGTTCTTGCTGCCTTCTTTCAAGAACTCATCGTCCGGCGCTCTGCCTTTTCTTCCGTCTGCCCACACAGCCCGCCGCGCCGAGTATTGAAGTCTGGTACCGCCAGCTCCACCGATGCGAAATCCAGGTATGCGCAACGCGCGCGGGAGGACAAACCGCTCGTAGTAATGTTCGCGCCACAGGTGAGGATCCGAGGCAAGACGGTAAAGGCGACGGGAAGTGGGGGAAATGGTGAGGAGCTCGGATGATGAAAGAAATGAAAGGATTCGCAACAGGATTTCAGAAGATATTCTGGTGAGTATATCCTGAAATGGCGAGTTGCAAGCTGCATTGGCGATGCGTGAACGCTTTAATGGCCGAGGTTGAACTACATCATGGGTGTGAGAGCCAGAGCTCTCCTCGCTGTATGCACCCTTACGCTTTGACATTTGAAAATCACTTGTTGCGCTGAGCAGCCCAAGCCAACTTACAGCTGCAGAGGTTCAAAGTAAGTTTCTATGCTTGAATGTCAAGATGATGTGGAGCAAAAGATGTTTCGAGGAAGGCTAGAAATATCGGTGGCGATAGTTGGAGCTTGCAGTCCTGACGCTTACCCTATACGTGTGCTATCTGAAATCATGGTTGGGGGATAAAGGCAGTGTGTGTGTAAACCCCAAATACAGAAGGACCTATTTAACATTTTTAACGTTAATAGCCATATAATTATATTCATACCTTTGTCTTGACTTGTCCCATGGTATATACATGCCTACGTATGGACTTTTAACCACATCGTTCGCAAGTTAAGTATGCCTAGACAGTGGGGGTCACACATATTCGCCAATTATTGTTGGTACACCATTACCAATAGATCAGTACAAGGAAATAATCGCCATGTGTGAGGAGCATAATGTTAATATAGTTCTGCTAGTGTCGAAACGTGTTCATTAAAGTTCTTTCTGACGTCCTTGTGCTTATTTACTTCTTTCTCTGACGTATAAACGCAGGGTATTTCCATAATGCGTGTCAAGGTAGAAACCTAATGTCTACCGTATAAGTGTTCCCAAACTCCAATGATGCTAAACTAACTCTGCTTTTACAAACCGATCGCCGAGAAGAGATCATCGTAGACTTTGCCAACCCAGCCGTCCATCAGTCCGCCTCTTGCGACAACACCCAGTCCTCCGACCGCCCAGAGTGCAGCGAATGCAACGGAAGCGCCGTGAAGAGCAACCCATTTTCGTCTTCTTTGCCTCATAGCCTTTTTCTCGGCAGGAACGCTGCTTGTTCCCCAGATATACTTGGTCGTAGGAGACAGACCGAACCACTTAGCCTGCCCCCAAACCATATGACCACAGCCAGCGGCAAGAAGACCGACATAAGAAAACCAAGACGTGATGGGATGTCGAGCGAAAGCATGTGCGACGTAGGCAAGGCCAATGTTAGAGCTGTCACCCTCAACCTGTAGAGGTAAGATACGATTAACGAAGACATGGGCAGCGAAGAAGAATGTAAAAGTGTATCCGGAGATCGAGATGTAGCTCAATGCTGGCCATGGTGAAGCGGCCCTGGCACTCTTTTGATCCTTTTCAAGTTCTGTCCTTGAGCGATGAAGGGCGTACATTCCTGGGGTCGCTGCACCGTAACGCTGCATGTTCTGCGACCTCCTCAGTAATCGAAGGGCAATTCCTGATCCGATATGGGCGATGATAGGTAGAGCGACCAGTATGGGTTCGGTGAGTGAGGTTTGGTAAATTTCACGAGTCATAAGGAGGTAGGTTTCGGAGCCGGGAACCGAGCGAGTGATAGCGGGGATGAGGGAAACGTTGGCAAGATGAAGGGATGTGAAGATACCCATTGCGTAACTTGAGAACTTCTGAATCCGCATAACTAATCGAGAGTAAGCATGGCTCTGTTGGGTATTATACACACGAGTATATCCTTACGGTAGAAGATAGGACCAGGACCAGCTCCAGACTGGTTGAGGTTCGCGCTTGCACTCAAACCTGGAGCACCGGTCGAAGGGGCCCTGATGGATGAGGTGCTGTTCTCCATTTCCTCAGCGTTCACCATCTCGTACCCATCATCGCTTCCTCGAGGTAGTCGCCCAAGATCACGGCGGTCAATAGTGGGATCTGCTGGCGGAGAATCTATCGGGGAAGGGTCAAGCTGTTGTAGAGATAAGAAGCTTGCCTGTGAGGCTCGACGGTCAGGAGATTGGTCGAAATCCATGGTGTTACCACGCCCAGCGTGCTACCTTTCTTTGTACGTACGAAGATGAGAGAAACAGCTCCTGGAAATGTAGGCGGGGAGCCCAAACGTAGAAGAAGAGATGATGGCGCGCTCGTGACAGGGAAGTTTTTCCAGTTGGGATTAGCGCCTCAACGTGGTTGGAGACGGGGGGAAGCTGCCATAGATTCTGGGGCAGTTGTTCTGGAAGCCCCTGCCGAAAGCCCCTGGGAATGACGTTCATTGATGTTCTGGGAACCCGGTCAGCAACACATGCCAAATTCTGATTGGTGGCAGATGCCTTAGAAAACCTTGGCCATATGAAGTTAGTGCCCGAGGCCCCTAGTACCTTATCTCCATAGGTATCCAGGCGCTGGGTCGCTGCTCAATCTTTCCTGATCAAACTTTCACCAGTCGATGAGATCCACATCTTATAGCAAATCCACCATACGCGCTTGAAGAGAACATCAAGCAACGAAACATGCCTCCAGTAAGCCTCAAGCAACACGATGATCGCCCTCTTACTAACGCGTCTTCAGCGACACCAAACACTTCCAGCAGCACAGACTGCGGCTGCGCGGGAAGCGCAAAAGTCTTTCTACTGTCAGCTCTGCTCCAAAGGCTATTCGAGGATGAACGACTATGAAGCTCATCTCGGCAGTTATGACCATAGTCACAAACAGCGCCTTAAGGATATGAAAGCCATGGTTCGTGACCCCAATGCTGGCTCACGTGCGCGTAAGGCAGAGGCCAAAGCGGATGGTCTCATTAGCATCAAGCTCCCCGGCCAGGAAGCTGCTGCGAGTACAGGAGCCGGAGCCGGAGGGTTCAAGAAAGGCGGTTTTAAGAAGAGTGGCTTCAAGAGTGCTTTCACCAAAGTCGAAAGTAGCGGATCGGGATCAACACCATCAATCATTGAGAACCCCAAGCCGACCAACGCGTTTGAGCCTGCTCCTATCAACCCTGGTCTCCAGAAAAACCTCTCGCCAGAAAGCGACACTGAAGACGAAGGCTATGAGGTTTACAATCCGCGGTTTCCTACGAACTAGATCTTGCGACACTCGGAACACTGAATGATAACGTTGCAATGATACATCTCTATCTATTGGCCCTGCCCTTCACCCTTCACATTGGTGGCCACTGGGGACCGCCTATTTGAGATATATCCTGTTCCAACAATCCCAGCAAGTTGCGGCTTCCAGACATCCAGTCTGCCATTTGCGCCACCTGCGAGTTATCCGGAAATGCAGCATTAGAGTCACTGCCGGCGGTGTTGATGTTTGGGTCCATTACAGGCATGAAGCCCAGTTGGCTCAGATAAACGTCAAACTCGTCTCCGATTGGCACCATTGTTTGATCTTCTTGCTGTTGCGACTTGGCCTCGACATAAAGCGCCGCGACATTGCTCATGACTTGGCACAGCCGTGATAGTTTTTGCATGGTTTCCGAAGCGTCACTGGTTTCGCCAATTGATGTGCTGAAGTCACACAAGAGACGCAGGTCCTCTGCCGATGATGTCTCTATGACATAGCAGAACAGAACGAAGAAGGGGGCGAATGGAGTCAATACCAGGTTCCTGCCACAGTGTCAGATGTACTCGGAGTTCAGGAATAATTGTTACTGTGAACATACCAATGGACATAGATGTTTCTCGCATGAGGATCCTTCCGTACCAGTTCCATACAAGATAGATGCGTATGTGTTGCCCTTCGTGCGGTCTCGATACACTCGTCACAGAACCTGCTGGAGGAGCCTTCGGGGGCCGGGATCGCTCGGTAGATGAGTGTCATGGTTGATAACAGCTGGACTTCGTCACCCTTGACGTGAATATCGACAAGGGGGGATGCTCCTATTTTCTCGAGCGAGGCAATGGCCATTCCTCGGCTCTCGTACGCCTGCGCCTCTACCTCTCGACACTTTGCTGCTAGCATCCGAGCCCTCTCAGCAATAACAGCAGGAGGCTGAGCTAGTGCTGCTGGGCAAAAGCTGATTCCGTTTAGCAAGAACAGCCAAAGACGAATGTTAGAAAACCTACAGCTGCTCATATACTTGGCCTTGGAGCGTTGCAGCGCTGAGCCACATGGCTGCAACAGCTTTGGTTTCAAGGCTCAATATGCCCTCAAAGTGAAAGGTGCGTGGGATGTCAATTTCCCAATCCTGGATGAGAGGGGCACGTCCAAGTCGGATTGCCAATGCTTTATCTGTCGTGTAAACGTACCAGAAGAGGATTGCCCTGATACTAGCTTCTTCCGGATTGCGAACGGAGTGGTCTTTGCGGTGAAAACCTGCGGTCTGGCACATTTGTGCGGCAGCACTATTAAGGTGCCAGGCCACCGAGGGTCTGCACACATCAATGGCGTACAACGTCTGATGGTTCTGTTAGTGTCTATTCTGATACTTCTCATCACAAGAAAGCGCTTCCTCACCCCCAACAACAGAGCTTGGACCGTCTCGATCTTAACCGACATGAAGAGAGACATGTTTGCCAGTCCTGTTTCCAAGTTGACTCGACTTGTGTAAAGGTGCGAGGCAAACTCGTCCTTGAGGGCCTTGTTGTCTGTGGCCAATGAATGTTGCTCGAGAAACAAATAATAGAGCCCAACGTTGACAATGATAAATGTAGCATCAGTAAAGTCTTCAGTGGGGAAGTAGACCATTCGACAAAGGTTTGAGAAGTCACTAATGCCTACGAAATAACACACGAATGTGAAGAGTCCCGGAGGAGAAGCTAGAATTGGTCGGTGAGCAGACGGTTTGAAGAGCAGATGTTTTCACACATACCCCTGGCACGCTTCAGCATAGAGACAACGATATCCATAGGAGGCATCTTGAGCTGACCCAGGCCACCCGGTGGCAATGGTTGTTGCAATGGAAACCTGGGGCCATGGCTGATGGATTGTCGACTCTGGAGTTCGGCTATCTGTCTTAGGTTGGCAAGGGCTTCCCACATCTTAGGGCTGACATCGTGCAATGAGGTACGCTCTACGGCATGCTCAAGGAGTTCGCTAGCAAACGTGGTTTGCTGGGCAATCACAGAATCGCCGCCCAGTGCAGATTCATCATCAGAGCTTTCAAAGCCGACCGTCGAGGCAGCGTTGGCATCTAGACCAGCAAAGGCTGTAGGGGTTACGGGGAGATAAACATTGCTACCTGGTGTTGAGGTGGGGCGCTGAGAGAGGTCGCGGAGGAGGTTTTCTATGTTAGCTAGGCGGACTTCGATCTGATCAATCTTGCGCTCACTGAAGGAAGCGCAAGTCACTGGTTAGCAAATGGTATGGCCTGCTTGCAAATAGAAATGGCAGAGACGATGTAGGTTTCTTGGAGTCAAGAGGATACGGGGTAACCGACTATTGAGACGAGATGAGCACTCGTTGCCTGGGCTCTTTAGGTCTCTGACCGACACCAGTGGATGTACAAGAGCGTTTGGCAGTGCGACAGTTGGAGCAAGGCCAGTCTTTATCGCAACGGATCTATTCCATACGAGCGTTATTGATACAAAGCACACAGACTACGTTATTTTGTGATGGCACCTATGGGATGTGCTTACCTTGCGCATACGACACTGATCACACTGATTCACGAGATATTTAGTTAGTAGTTGTGATACTGGACAAGCAACTAGACCCATGCATGTATGCATACATGATGCATGCATGCATTCAAGTTTGTGGCATATGCGCCCAAACCGAAGCAAAAGCAATGGGATCTCGCAAACAACAGAACAGGTCCATTGCAGTACAAGCGGCAACTATGTCGGCCCGTGAAGAATGCCTAATGTGGAAAATGTCACTTACCGCACGCCGTGCAGAGTCATCGGGAGCCGCGGGTCCGTTGTTGGTGAATCCCGGGCCAGTACTGGAATGATCCATAACGAATGAATGTATGTATCTTGACGTGGCCAATGAATGACGTCGAGATGGGAAATGAGGCAAATAAAGGAGCAGCTAAGATTCCCTCTTTTTCGTAATTGGGGAAAAATACTGGAATTTGGGTACTGACGACGCGGAACAGGAACAGATGAGAGAGAATATCGTACTATGATGGGATGGAAGAAAGGGAAGGAGGGTTCGGAAAGCGCGGGGACCGATAACAAAACGTCAGGTACCGAATTGTGGCTTGTCAAAATAAATGTGGCTGCATGGAAAGTCAATACTTGATCCATCACCAAATCGGGTTCAAGTTCTTTTTCGTGTTCGTTACCTATGGTAGTAGGTTAGAGGTAGTAAGTCACAAAGCCCACCAATAAACTCAATCTGACCTTCAACTCTCTTCTCTGATGGTGGTCCTGCAAAGAGCAACAAGGTAGTCGAAATTAACCACAGACGGCTAAATATTTGCCCCGGTCTTAGACTCTCTCCTAAACTCATTGGTGTCTGATGCCTGTGTAAGCTCATTGGCTGAATCGTATCGCGCGGGATGCGTCCAACGTCAACGCCAAGAGTCATCCTTTCTTTAAAAGTCTTGACGTTTGTCCGTTTTTAATTACATAGCTACCTCTATAGTCGTTTTCCAGTGGAAAAACCCGGGGTATACAATGAAACAAGAGGGCTCAATTGGCAATTCGTCTTCCAAGACCGAAGGAGTATCAACAGAACAGCCAAACAGCACAATGACGGTTACACTTGGAGACAAGGGCGAGAGCGATGGCGATACAAAAGAAGAAAAGAAGGATACAAGCTTCAAATATTATTTGGCAAGTTCTTTTTACTTGAATGTCTCTTACAGCTAACGCTAACAATATATCTTAGCGCGTCTTTACTTACAACGATCGCTTAGGATGGATCCTCAATGGGGTCGCATTTGTCTGCATGGTTGCTGCAGGCACAATTCTGCCCCTGATGGATTTTGTTTTTGGAAAATTCATCAATGTTTTTACCGATTTTGCTACTGGATCATTATCACCTGCTGGATACCGAACTGAGGTCAGCAAGTACAGGTGCGGCCTTCTATCAATTGTGCGGTGCGCTCCCAGGGTTGGACACCTAAACTGACCATTGTTTTGCTTATAGCTTGTACTTTGTCTATCTTTTTATTGCGAAATTTGTTCTGACATATATATGGACAGTAAGTACCTCCCGCTCACCCGCCAAGTTACATGCCTAGGTAGGCAGTAGTCTTCGAGTCCATGTGGTGCTAATCAAATGCGTGCCCAGATACTTGTTTCCATCGCAGCCATCAACACGACAAAATCGCTCCGCGTTGACTTTGTCAGGAGCACTCTTCGCCAAGAGGTCTCGTTCTTTGATTCTCCCGCATCTTCAATCCCCGGGCAGATCACGACTAATGGAAACCTCATCAACCAAGGAATCTCTGAAAAGTTTGGTATTACCATTGCAGCCCTTTCGACCTTTGTTTCTGCCTTCATCGTGGCGTTTGCAGTCCAATGGAAGCTCACTCTCATCGTACTCGCCATCATCCCAGTGAATCTCGTCGTCACTATCATCTGCGTGGCTATCGATACTGGCTACGAGTATGCAATGTTTGACGTCTACTCGAGGTCTAGTTCCTTGGCTGAGGAGGCTTTCTCGACTATTCGTACAGCCCACGCTTTCTGGGCTTTCCCAAAGCTGTCAAAACGATTTACAAGCACGCTCCAAGAAGCAAGGAGAATTGGCCACAAGAAGTCTTGGGTGTACATGATTCTGTTCCCCACTGAATTCTTTTGTATCTTTGCAGGTTATGGCCTGGCCTTTTGGCAGGGAATGAGGATGTACTCCGAGGGCGAGATCACGCAGCCAGGCACCGTCGTAACGTGAGTGTTTTTGACATGCTTCTACCTAGGATGATTTGACTAACTTTGAACTTCATAGTGTCATCTTTGCTATTCTAGTTGCTGCTACAGCACTTACTCAGGTTGCACCCCAGACAATAGCCATCTCCAAGGCCACTGCTGCTGCGCAAGAGATGTTCGAAATGATTGACCGCAGGTCGCAAATCGATCCGCTATCCCAAAAAGGCGAGACCATACCCGATTTCAAAGGCAATATTCAATTCCGTGGGGTCAATTTTGCCTACCCTTCCCGTTCTAACGTGACGATTCTTCGCTCACTGGATCTCGACATTCCTGCTGATCGGACCACGGCGCTTGTAGGTGCCAGTGGATCCGGAAAGAGCACTGTATTTGGACTCTTGGAACGATGGTATATGCCAATCAGTGGGTTGATCACACTCGATGGACATCCGGTTGAGAATCTAAACATACAGTGGTTGCGGACAAATATCAGAATGGTTCAGCAGGTGTGCATGAGGCATCCAATGTCAAATACCTAGTAACTGCTCACATCTGTTCAGGAACCAACTTTATTTAGTGGTACCATTTATCAAAATGTCGTCGACGGTTTGACTGGTACGTCCATGGCCGATCTTCCAGAAGATGAGAAGCAAAGAATGGTTATCGAAGCCTGTAAATCCGCCTACGCCCACGACTTCATCGAGACGCTGCCCAAGGTATGTTCGTCTCTTATCTTTTTTGTCCTCCACTGACTTCTCCCAGGGCTACGATACTTGGATAGGCGAAAGGGGAGCGTCGTTATCCGGTGGCCAGAAACAACGTGTAGTTATCGCTCGTAGCATCATTTCTAACCCCAAGGTTTTGATGTTGGATGAAGCTACGAGTGCTCTCGACCCCAACGCCGAAAAGATCGTACAGCGAGCTCTCAATAATGTCGCCAAAGGTCGAACAATGATCGTTATCGCGCACCGACTGTCTACAATTCGCGATGCTGACAACATCATCGTTATGGCCAAGGGCGAAACAATCGAACAAGGCTCACACGACGAACTCCTCCAACAAGGCGGCACATACTCGCGTTTGGTCCGCTTACAGGACCTTGGCAAGGGCAGTGTATCTTCAGATGATGAGGATGAAGATACAGTGAAAGACGAGACAGGTGCTCGTCTTGATCCTGTCTTGTCCCGCGCTTCTCAGCATGCTGTAGCGGATATTACACAGAACGACGCAATTAACTACGGACTTTTGAAAGGACTATGGCTTGTGATCAGAGAACAGAGACCTCTATGGTTCTCTGGTTTCATTCTGGTCATCATTTCTATTTTGGGAGGTGAGTTGTTTGTCCACGTCTCGAAGGGGAAAGAAGCTTACTTACACTACTTCAGGTGCCACGTATCCAGCACTCGCTATTCTCTTCTCGAGAACCATGAAGGCATTCGAGACTATAGATGTTAGCGATGCGAACTTCTTTTCGTTAATGTTCTTTGTGGTCGCCCTCGCCAACTTTGTCATATACGCCGTGGCTGGCTGGGTCTGCAACGAGATCGGCCAAGTAAGTAATTTGTCTACTCGCCTGCCTCCAACATCCCTTTTTAGCTAATTTTCTTCAGTATATAATGACGATATATAGAAGTGAGCTTTTTGATAACACTCTCCGACAAGACATGAGCTTCTTCGACGACCCGGACCGCGGAACTGGTGCCCTTGTCTCACGACTGGCCGCTGAGCCCACTAGTCTCCAGGAATTATTGTCCATGAACTTATCACTCATCATGATCAACATAGTTACAGTTCTATCAAGCTCCGTACTTGCGATCGCCTACGGCTATAAGTTGGGCCTGGTCCTTACACTTGCCGCCCTACCAGTGCTAGTTGGCTCGGGATATGTCAGAATCCGACTTGAATACAAGTTTGATGACGATACTGCTGGAAGATTCGCCAAAAGCAGTGGTTTAGCTTCAGAAGCGGTACTGGGCATACGGACTGTTTCCTCGCTAGCATTGGAACGAGCTGTCATCGAGCGTTATAGCAATGCCCTCGAAGGTCTTGCAAAAGAGGCGATCGGAAGCCTGGGCTGGAAGATGTTGTTTTACTCCTTCAGCCAGTCAGCATCTTTCCTTGCCATGGCACTTGGCTTTTGGTATGTATCACTTGCTTGCGAATGGTTGAGACAGCACTGACAGGTGACCACAGGTATGGCGGGCGTCTTGTTTCCACTGGTGAGTATACCACTGATCAATTCTATGTAATTTTCATCGCCGTCGTCTTCTCGGGAGAAACATCAGCAATGCTATTCCAGTACACTACGAGTATCACAAAAGCACGGACAGCGATCAACTACATATTCGAGCTTCGACGCCAAAAGGTGCTTCACGATGACATAGGGAATGAGCCTAGCTGTGAGAAGAACCCGAATGGGAAGGGCATCGATATTTCTTGCCAAGAGCTCGCCTTTGCGTATCCTCGTCGACCTAAACTGCCGGTGCTTCGAGGTGTGGACATCAGCATCGAACCTGGCAAGATGGTAGCTCTCGTTGGGGCATCTGGATGTGGCAAGTCAACTATGATTGCACTACTTGAGCGGTTTTACGATCCAACCAGTGGCATGATAATGGCGGAAAGTCAAGATATCAGCACAAAAGATAGGCGATTGCATAGACGAGACATCGCTCTTGTTCAACAGGAGCCGGTTCTGTATCAAGGTTCGATCCGAGACAACATATCCCTCGGTATCGAAGAGGGCAACCCGCCTGACGACGACATCATCGAGGCTTGCAAACAAGCCAACGTCTATGATTTTGTGTCCTCTCTTCCCGAAGGCCTCGCCACTTCTTGTGGCAACCAAGGACTCTCGCTCTCAGGTGGCCAACGCCAACGCATCGCTATTGCCCGCGCTCTTGTTCGCAAACCCCGTTTGTTACTTCTCGACGAAGCCACTAGTGCCCTTGACGCAGAGAGCGAAAAGGTAGTCAAGGAGGCGCTGGATCGAGCAGCCGAGGGAAGGACGACAGTCGCTGTCGCACATCGACTAAGCACAATCCGGGAGGCGGATACCATCTGCGTATTTTCTGGTGGGAAAATCGTCGAGAGAGGGAGACACGAAGATCTTGTTGCGAAGAGGGGGTTGTATTATGAAAT